ACACACACACACACACACACACACACACACACACACACACACACACACACACACACACACACACACACACACACACACACACACACACAGCCAATCTTTGGATGCACTATATATGTGCATCTACACACACATCTTATGTCTAAATCAGTGACAAAACTGAAGAAGGCAGGGGGTCTGGATAACAAGACTTTCAAGAATAAGTCAAACGCATCGGATAGGTTATGCTTGTTATGAAGCTATCTACAGCCCACTTTAACAGTTAGGATGTTGTGTAAAATGTAAATAAAGACAGGATGCAATGATTTGCAAACATCACAAACCTAAATCTTATTCACAATGGCACAAAGTAAATATATCAAATGCTTAAACTTTGTTGTTACATTTATTTAAAAATGTAATTTTCAATTTGATGGCAGCAGCACTTCTAAACAAGCGGTACGCTGAGTGAATGTTTGTAGGTTACGAGATGAGTGTTTTTCTGGAATTGAACAAGTAGTGCAACCAAACCTTAATGTTTTGTGCAAGATTATTATCAAATGTGTAGGAGTTACACTGTGGAGAAAAAGAATGGTAGGATATTTTTGTTTTGTTTGTCAGAGGTGGTGCAAAGTGACGGATTCTGGCAAGTGGATGGAGCAAATTTATCCCTGACCATGCACGTTTCAGCTGTTCCCTCTTCAGGGGTTGCCACAGCGAGCAACAAACTCGCATGCTGGATGCCCTTCCTGATGTAGCCTGGGCTTGAACCCACAACCTCCCTGCCTCCGGCTGCACTCTCGGCCACACCTACTTCTCAGCTGGAGGAGGAAGCTTCTCCCACAGCTGTGGGCTGCACACATGTGCTAAATCGTTTAAAACAAGTTATTTTAAATAAAAATCCATGCCGATCATGCGGCTCATCCATCAATCAGCCAATTGTGTATCATGTCCAATCGTACCGTACTTTGAAAAAACGCGATAGAGCGAGTCCGCAAAAAACGAACCGCGAAGCAGCGAGGACATACAGTGTGTGAATACAGGTGTATATATACAATATATATATATGGTTGTGGCCATTTTGGATTTTGACTTGGAAACCCAATTTTTTATATTTACCTTTCTTACATGATGCGGCAACACACCCAAATGGAAATCATCGTGTTGTCAATTTTTTGCAGTCATCCAGCTCACAAGTTTTACATTTATACTTTTATGATGGCAGCCATCTTGGATTTTGATGTGGCAACCCAGTTTTTGAAGAGAACCAGTCTTACGCCTTGATGTAGCCACACAACAAAATGGAAGTTGGTACCTCTCTTATTTTTCGAGTCATCGTGCTCACAACATTGCAGGACAAAGGCCCCCTCTCCACTCTGCGACAGGGGGCATGGAGTCATTTTTTCATGATAGAGCTTTAACCAACACGAGGAACTGTGTTAATCAGCAGTGATCTACAGACAGAAGTGTTCCTGAGTCCATGCAGTTATGTCCAGAACAAAATCAGACCTGTTTTAAATGCAGCTGACATCAAATTTCTATTAAATTCAAATTATCCTAATTTATTCTTCATAATGATGTAATATCTTAGATTAAACCTTTGATAAGTTTCCTGTTTTATATTGAAAGTAAAGCATGGGTTTATGAGATTTGCTAATTATTGCTTTCTGTTCATTTACATTTTATACATCCAAACTTTTTTAGAATTGAGATTATACTCTGTAAATCCACGGTGTTAAGACTGAAGGCAGAGGGTTGTCATAGCAAGAAATCTAAAAAAAAATAAGCAAAAAGTAATGTATAAGTTGTAATTGTTAGAGTTGATATCTATTATTTCATACTCTGCATCTGACAGCAAACTATCACCACAGACTAGATGTACCACACATTTAGATGGTCTTTGGATTTAAACCCAGCCGCATTGACAACAATATGTTATAGCTTGTTTAATGTTTGAGCCACTAACTACAAACAGAACGTCGTCACTGAGAGGCTCGGCTTTAAGTTGACAGGTTCCAAGGCGTGAAGGTTGGCAACATGGCTGCACTGCAGGAATTCCTGTTACACAGACATCGCAGCTCTGCGATGATGTCTCCGGATGGCGGGCCGCTCAGCAGGAGCTCAGATGACTTCTGCACAAAACAAGGAAACAAACGAGATCAACAAAATGAAGCACAGCACTGTTATCTGCATCTCTGTCGCCTGCCGCCAACGACCAGAGGGCGGCGATCGTTTTGTGAGTGAGTTTTTATTTATCTTATAAACAGATTTTAAACAACTTTTGCAGACTGGTGAACCTCTGCCCATCTTTACTTCTTATAGATTCAGTTTCTCTAAAATGCTTTTTTTATACTCGGCCCAGTTTCTGACCTGTTGACGATTAACCTAATAATCTGTAAAATGCTCTAGTTGGTTTTTGTTTTGTTTTGTTTTACCACTTTTTAGCATTTTCTTGCGTGTGTTGGTGCCATCAACTTAAAAAAAACTCTATTTTTTATACAAAACATGTAATTTCTTAATCAAATTATGTGAAATATTTTCTACGTTCTAAATTGTAACTTCTTTGGAATGGGCGACGTTTTGTCCACCAGTTTGCTGATTTTTTTCACCTGCTCGTTGTTGGGTCTGGATTTCCTCCAGGCCAGAAAGTGCTCTCAGTGACCTTCGATCTTTGAAGGCCACCACAGGTACCACGTCCGGCTCGTTGTTCAACACCAGCTGCGTGGTTTTAGCACCCGCCGGCAGCTTGACGCCATCTTCTATGGTTCCGTTGTGCACAGGCGCCGTGTTTTCCTTTGGTAGGGCTTCGTTTGGGAGGACTCTCGCTGCTACAGATGTCTATGAACCAAACATGAACGGATCGTTTCAGTCGAGGATGACGCTGACGTGTCATGAGAGACCTGAGGCGGTGAGCTGCTGTGCAAACCAAGCTGTAAATCTCACCGTATCTGGAGAATCTGTTCTTCTGGTTCTCCGCATGATCTCCTCAAGCCTCTGACAAAGACAGCATTGTTAAAAGTTCTCCATGTCTTAAAAAACAGAACTTGTGTCTTTATGTGTACAGATGGACACAAAGGAGAGTATAACTTTTTATTCCTGATCTTCTGAAGAACGGACCTTTTTACCTTTTTTCGCGCTTGACGTTCGGCCTCCTCTTTGTGAGCTGCCGTCTCCCTTTCTTTCTTCATTTGTTCAGCTTGTGCTCTCTCTTTAGCCAATTCCTCCTCTCTCTGCAAACAACCACAAAAAAGTTGAGCATTCTTTGAAAGAGACGTATCACCACAAACGTTTCACAGTTTTAGACTTTTCTCTCGAGAAAGACAGAGTTGTGTTGTTCCAACGTGGAAAACGATGTCTTGTCACTCGGATTGTGAGTTGTGATTGGCTGTCAGCAGCTCAGAATATGTACAACTGTCCGAGTTACAGCCAGTTTTGTGTTATTTAACGTTGAATGACTCCAAAAGTTAATAAGTTATAGATTTGATTGTGATGTGATATAGATGTGACCAGTGATTATTTACTGAAATCTTGTTTTAGTGGTTTATGGGATGTTTTTGTTGACATAGAGTTGATTCCATTTGTTAGTAGCAAAGTTTTTAACAGATCTTGTGTGCTCATCTGTTAAGGATCAGTCTCAGTTTCCACCACACCAAATATTACAGGTATTATCTGTAAAATTGTCTGGAATAAAGCTCATTTTAACTGATGGTAATGAAACATTTAGTGAAAACTTCAACATGAAAACAGAAACACATTGTTCCAGTAGAACTCATGCAGTACAGGTATTTATTTTTCAATACGCTGACGATAGACGATTGGTCACCTGTTTGAGAAGAAGGGCAGCCTCCTTCATGGCCTGGGCTCGCTCCTCTTCAGCTCTCCTCTGCTCCTCCTCCTCCCTCCTCCTCTTCTCCTCAACGAGGCGCTGAACCTCAGCCTCCTGCTCCGCTTGCTCCTCTGCTCTCCTGTATTCGCTTTCCTCACGGCTTCGCCTGAACACAAGTTAACAAGTTTTTATGTTCCACCATCAACAATGTTTTTTTTATCAAACAGCATGTTTGTTTGACTGTAGTGTTAGCAAAATATTGCATCAACCACTAGACAGATTTGAATCAAACCTTTAGAAAGTAATATTTTGATTGACATCTATAACAACCCATTTAAAATGGCTGACGCAGCGATTGACCATAAGAAATGAATAAATGTCTAAAAGCCAGCCATATTCACAGATATTCAGCTAAAATTTGGAGTGGCAGTAGCTGAACTTTAGCACATCTCATGTAGCCATGGAGGCCATCTTGATTTCAACAAGTGGCATAAAAGGTGGTGGGAGATATGCATCCAAGACTTTTACCTCTCAGCCTCTTCTCGCTGCAAGCGCTCCTGCTTCTCTTTCTCCCGCTGTAATCGAGCCTCTCGCCTCTTTTCAGCCAAAAGACGTGAGGCCTTCTCCAGGTCTGAACTTCCAGCTGAAGACCGGATCAGAACCTCAGGAGCTGAATGAGGGGGACCTGAACACAAATATATATATATATATATATATATATATATATATATATATATATATATATATATATATATATATATATATATATATATATATACACACATTAGAATATCATGAAAAAGTTGATTTATTTCAGTAATTTCATTCAAAAAGTGAAACTTGTATATTCATTCATTACACACGGAGTGATTCAAATGTTTATTTCTTTTTATGTTGATTATTATAAGTGACAACTAATGAAAACCCTAATGTGTTATGTGTTGTCATCATTGTATGTTCCCATACAATGGCAAAATGGGATCTCTACATTTAACCCATCCACCACCAGGTGGAGCAGTGGGCAGCTATGGAAAGTGCCTGGGGAGCAATTAAGGATAGGGCGTCCTGCTCAGAAACGCCACGAGATGTGCAATGACCGTGGATCGAACCCGGGACCTTTGGGTCTCGAGTTGGCTGCCCTGCCCCTACTCCATCTCGGCCCACCAAAATAAATTCAGTATCTCAGAAAATTAGAATATTGTTAAAAGGTTCAATATTGAAGACACCTGGTGCCACAGTCTAATCAGCTAATTAACTCAAAACACCTGCAACAGCCTTTAAATGGTCTCAGTCTAGTTCTGTAGCTGCACAATCATGGGGAGGCTGCTGACTTGACAGTTGTCCAAAAGACGACTATTGACACCTTGCACAAGGAGGGCAAGACACAAAAGGTCATTGCTAAAGAGGCTGGCTGTTCACAGAGCTCTGTGTCCAAGCACATTAACAAAGAGACGAAGGGAAGGAAACGATGTGGTAGAAAAAAGTGTACAAGCAACAGGGATAACCGCACCCTGGAGAGGATGGTGAAACAAAACCCATTCCAAAATGTGGGGGAGATTCACAAAGAGTGGACTGCAGCTGGAGTCAGTGCTTCAAGAAAATGTTGAAGTGATGAAAATATTTGGCTTGTTTGTCTCTGTGTGTCACTGTGATGGACTGGAGATCTGTCCAGGTGTCCCACGCCTCTCACACATTGACTGCAGGATATTGACACCAATGACCCCCACGCCCAGAAAAGAAAGAAGCAGGTAAAGATGATGGATGAATGGAGTCTTAAGTGGAACTTGTAAATGTAAAATAAATGAAGTCCAAAAATAGATCCTTGGAGAACTCCAAATGTGAAGGGAGCTAAGGAGGAAACGGCTTACAGAAAAATCACAATTCAATTTATCATAATTATTCAAGTAAAACAGATAAAACATATTTCTCTTACAGATGACATGATTTAACTTTTGTGTGAACATTTCTCTTACGTACTTCCATGTGTTGCTGTTCCCGTCCAGTCCTCTGTTTTTGTGCCAGACAGGCTGGAGCATGGAGTCTGTGGTGAATTGTCTGGCCTCAGTTTCTCCCGCTGACCTCTCTCTGGTCCCCTGACGGGCCTGGTGTTCCCAGCAGAGGCGCAGACCTCAGCATCCTCTTCAGGAACAGACGAGAGCTCCAGCTGCAGCGGGGTCAAGTGCCGGCTTACTGACCTTTGAGGGCTCCTTCAAGGTCAAGCAAAAAAGGGGAGGCTATTTTATTGATTCATAAATCAAGATGTTCAGCTTAACAGGAAATGGTATGCTATGCCTTTTATACTTTTCAGAGTATTTAACTTTCTTTAACACAAAGTTCCTCTTAGAAATGCACTGTGATCTCTTTAGTTCCATAAAAACATAGTTTATGTAAAACTCTGCTTCATCTCACTTGATCTATTTTTAGCTTCTTTCGGTTACTGTTTTAGCATTTTGTGACAATTTTTCTTTTGTTTGCTACTTATACCTTGCAGCTATTGTTTTGTTCGTTTTTAGCTGTGGTTTTGGGACTTTTGTCTTGGAGCTACAGTTTGGTAAATTTTAGATTTTCAGACAATGTTTTACTAACCAAGTTATATTGTTTGTTTCAACTTCAAGATTTCAGTTTTAGCTTCTTCAATGAATTCAGTGTCACTGAATACTTAGTATTTACATAATTACTAAGTAATTTAAAATTTTGTTTTTACTATTCTGTTAAAGTAGCTCAGTATCTCATCACACAGCTTTGAAATAAAATCTGCAAATTATGCATCAAAACCTCTGGCATGATTGGGAGAGCTATGATTGTATTTGTGGCGGTGCAGACAAAAACTTGCAAAAAACTGCAAGAAAAATATTGATAGAGATCAAATGAATTTTAGTAAGAAAAGCCGGCTTTCCTTAGTTTTACAGCTCCGACAGATTAGAAACATGACTCAAAGTTTAAATGTCATAAACAATACAGGAGCATGACCAAAAATCACAGACCAAATTGTAATTTTATGGTAAGCTGTTTCCTCCTTGGCCCCATTCACGTTTGGAGTTCTCCAAGGATCTATTCTAGGACTCCATTTATTTTACATTTACTGTACATGTTCCTTTTAGCATGACAGGAACAGAAAATTGAACTTTGTGTCATTAGACTTTAGACTTGTGTTTTTCTCTTAAACACCATGCACTCCCAGGCCTTTTTACAGGTCTTGTTTTACTCCAGGTCTGTTTGACTTACCGCTCTGGTGATGTGGAGGTTGTTCTAATTTGAGTACTTGTGGCTTGTTTCACATTTTCTGCAGACAATTTAGTGCCTGAGCCACGGTTTGAATTCTTCTTAACGCTGTCTTGTTGTCTCGCCACTTTGGTCTAAATCAAAAAGAAGGAAGAAGTTACCATATTTAAACAAATAAATAAAACTTTTCATTTAACGAGGAATGCTCAGGTACCTGTGCTGGACTGATGCTCGTGTGCTGACTTGTGTTGGAACTGGAGGAGGCAGGTGGTCGGTGGTTGACCGAACCGGGCTGATGTTTGTGTGAGATGGTGGGTGTGGGGGTATTCATGGAGTGGTGAGAAACTGCACGATGACAAACATGGACAACTGAACAAGTTTAAAGAATGGACATTTTGGTGGAAAATGGTGAACAGTGAAAAAGAAGGATGATGTGTGAAATAGCACGAGAGCAGAGAGGAAAAAGCTGCGTTAGAGAGCCAGGAGCGTCAGCTGCTGTGGTGGTGTAACGCTGAAGATGGTAAAGGTGGGATCTCACTGGGTTGTCGCTCGTTGGTGAACAATGTTCACAAATGTGTCTCCAAAATGTCTCGAGAGCTTCTCAATTTTCTCCACACAGCCCTGTTGCTTGAGAGCTGATTTGTGGCGGTCATCTAAATTTTGTTGTGGGCATCTCCTTTTGTCTTCTTTTTTAAACCTGCACAGGAGCTCTCCTCTGACAGAAAGCCTGTCCAGATGTTGAAATCTGGTCGACGATGAACAAAAAGCAGAGGATTGAATGATTCTGCAAAGATGCAGTGGGAAAGCTGAGTGCTGAATGACTGTTGAAATTTGCTACAGAAGCTGAAACACTGATAAAGCTAAAAGAAACAAAATATCAGCTAAAAGCTATAAATGGCAAATGGTTATCTAAAAACTAAAATAAGCAAAAGCCTAACTAAAAGCTAAAAGTTGAAGAATAATAGCTAAAAGTTAAAAGCAAAATGCTGGGTAAAAGCCTAAAGTAGCATAAGGCCTGGATAAAAACTAAAGGGAACAAAATGGCACCTAAAATTATCTTAAAAGGTAAAAGTAGCAAAAGGCCAGAAAAAATCAGCAAACGGTTAGCTAAAAACTAAAAGTAGCCAAAGAACAACTAAATATAAATATTAAAAACCTGGTCCAGATTTATTTGGGGCGACTGCCCGGGTGGATACAAAGCGAGCCGGGGTGGGTATGATGTGGGCTCAGGTGGACAGCTAATATTCTGCACATGCAAGAATACAGTTTTGCAAAATGTGCACTGATAAAGAGTCTGTGGTTTAATAAAACTGGCCATTCAAAATGCAGCTGCACATTTTGATTCCTAATAGTGTGCAACTATCTTTATCTAAGGTTTATCTTAGATAGATTACTTTACTAATTGTCTTTTATAATGTATGTGAATGTTTTTGTTCAGTGTCCTGAGATGACTTGGCGCTATATAAACAAACTGAATTGAATTGAACCAGTCGCAGCCCAGTGAGATAGCACCTTAAGGGTTTTCTTTAACCATAAAGTACCTTCTCCTGTCTGACATCTTGTGCTCTTGCTCCTGGCCAGATAGGAGCATGTTGGGGTGAGGAGGCGACTGACCAGATTCTTCTCCCATGTTGTCAGAGGCAAGCCCCGTGGAACTACCGTATTGATGGGTGTAAAGGTTGCAGCACATCAAAAGCAACAGATAAGGCATGCCAAGAGTTATTTATTAGGAAACAGACATTTATTTTAGGTTTAGAGTGAGAGAAGAAGAACAATGAAAGAGGAAAAAAGCACATGCATCTCTTTTTTTTTTTAAATCGCTCGCCGCCAAAGACGATTATGGGTTTAGACTGTGTCTGTGTGATTTTTATGACTTTAATGTGCAGTTTGAGGACATGAGTTTCAATTAAACTTTCAGAAAGTAATCACTACAAATGAGTAACATTCTAGTCATTCAGATTTAAGGTGGCTGTCGTAGCATAGTGATCTTAAAATACACAGAAACTTTGTAACTTCATTGTTTATACGTTGATACGTTTCGCAGGGCTCAATTCTTGGACCCCTTCTGTTTTCATTTGCTCCCTTTGGGGTCTATCCTGAGGAAGCATGGTCTTTTTTCATTGTTATGCTGATGATTGTCAGATTTATCTGCCCACAACCCAGTAGTTCCTGCTCCATTCACCCTCTGTTAAATGTCTTGGTGACATCAAGGCATGGATGGGTTCAAATGTTTTAAGTTTCAACGATCAGAAGACTGAAGTCATTTTGTTTAGCCCTAGCTCTACTGCTGCCTCTGTTCCTGCGAACCTTGGCTCTCGAGCCATATCTTAAGCAGTCTGTTACAAATCGCGGTTTGGTTTAGGACTCTGACTTTTAAGTTTAATAAAAAGATTAACTTTGTTCTGCAGAAAAGCTTTTTCTAGTTAAGGAAGATGGCTAAGCTTAAGTCCCTGTTGACCAGATCGAACCTTGAAATCGATCGGCTATCGGGCTTTTTCAGTCGTGGGCCCCAAACTTTCAAACAATCTGCCCCCCAACATTAGACAGGTCACTTCACTTCCTATTTTTGAATCTCTTCTAAAAACACGCCTGTTTTCACTGACTTTTAACACAGTGTAATTTGATTATTGCATTGTTTTGTGTTTTTTATGTTTTTATTTAGATACTTTTATTTAATTTTGTTATTTTTTTCTTTAAATTACTCCCATTTATTTTTGTTGTTGAGCACTTTGGTAACAACTGCTCTTTTTAAATGTGCTTTATAAATTAAATTGACTTGACCTTGTTCAGATGTATAGTTGCTGAGCACTAAGTGATGGCGGAAAATCTTTGTTAAAAATTACCTTTAACTATTTGAAATCAGCTGTTAGTAAATATCTCATGCATGCTTGCACAGTTTTTATTTAAACTTTAATAAAATAACATCTACAACTGGAGCCAGTCCAATTCAAGATGGCTGACACAGCAAATTTACGTTAGCCAACACTAAAAGGACTTCTGAATCAGTCGGTTTTACAAATGCTGAGCTAAAATTTGACGAGACCGCAGTTGAGAGTCATCCTCAACACAAACTGAATGTGAATTTGACCAGTGTGGCTTAATGTCGGTTTAAATTCCTGGCGTTTAAAGACGGCGAGCGATTCATTTTTTTCTGTTTTACCAGTTTTTGTGAGCTTCCTTCCTCTGGAGTTCTGATTGAGCTGCTGTTGGACCTTGTGGCTCCTCTCCAGTGTCTTGCGCACTGCAGATTCATGTCGCTCCTTGATTAGGACAAACGTTGGATTTGTAGCACTCGGATACAAAAATCTAACAGTTCAATGTTTCTCTCAAATCTCACCTTCTCCTCTCTGAGCCTCTGCTTGCGCTTCTCTTCCACAGCCGCACGCCTCCTCTCCTCCTTGAGCCTCTGCTCCAGCAGTTTCTTCCTGCGCTCCTGCAGTTGTTGTTCGTGGTACCGCTTGGCCTGCTGTTCCCGCTCCAGTCTGCTCCGTTCCCTGGAGGCTGAGGATGAATTAGGTAGCACGAATAGATTTATGATAATATAAATGGAGGACAGTGCACAAGCAGTGATGTGCAAATTGTACATCCAGAACTTACCCAGTAACCTCTGGTGCTCTTCTCTTCTCTCTCGGGCTGCTTTCAGCCTCTCGTCAACATTTAGTCCATTTCCAGCTATGATAAAAATGTGTGAAATAAAATATTAAGGTTCTGCTGGATGTGCACAGAGTCAGTTGAATAGATTAAAAGTCTTTACAAGCAGTCCGTCAATGTCCCCCATCAATGAGAGATTTTAATGGTGAATGTTTGTAGTTTTTGAGATGAGTGTTTTTCTGGACTGGAACTGAACAGGGAATGTAAGTTAAGCTTAAAGTTTTTGGTGCAAGATGTTCAAGTCGCTAGGAGTAACACTGTGTAGAACAAAGTTAGGTTTTATTTTATTTTTTGTTGTTTTACATGTCCAAGACAACATATAGAGTGATGGATCCTGGAGAGTGGAAGGAGCAATCTTATCCACCACCAGGTGCAGTGGAGGAGCCAGGGGGTGGCCAATGGTGGCCTTGACCACCACAGATTAATATTCACATCATCCAACCCAATCATTTAGGAATCTGTACTTTAAAGCAATATAAAAAGTAGAAAGCGTAATTGCGTAGTTGCCAAAAATGGTAGAGGTGGCCAGTTTATATATATATATATATATATATATATATATATATATATATATGGCAGAAGCCATCTTTGATTTTGACGTGGCAACCCAATTTTAGATGGTGACTTTTTTTTATGCTTGGATGCAGCCACACACCAAAATGGAAGTCAGCATGTTGCTTATTTTTCAAGTTATCCAGCTCACAAGATGGACAGACATATAATGGCGGCAGCCGTCTTGGACTTTGACACAGCAACCAAATTTTCGAAAGGAATCTTTCTTGCACCTAGATGTAGCCACAAGCCAAAATGGAAGTCGGTGCCTCACTTATTTTTCAAGTTATCATGCTTACAACGTCCACAGACATGGACATATCATGGAGGATATTTCCAATCCCCCCTCTTTGCTCGTGGGCTAAAAACAGATGTGAGCTATGACCCCAGGTATACAAGAGTTCTGACTAACCTGGAGTGGCCCGTGAAAAGTCGGAGTTGCAGATTTGGTTGTGCTTGAGGACAGGAGAAGATATTTTCTTTGTTTGTAAATCTGGTTTGACATTCTCTGCAAAGAGGAAGAAAAAACAGCCTTGATATTACTCAGCTGATGCTAGATTCTCCTGTTTACTTCTTTATCCTCTAGCTACACACAAATCTTGTGTTTTTGTGCAGCATGTGATGTGAAAAGGCTTGTTTTGAGAAGAAGAAAATAAAAAGCTCAAAAAGGCTCCTGCAAGGTTGCTCGCATGCACTGGATGGCCTCTGGGTCCGCTCCAAATGAAAGAACCTTTATGAACGACTGACAGCACACGTGTACCCTGAAATATGAGTGAGGCTACAGCGTGCACTCTCTGGACATTATTACCTGCAGTGTCCCCTCAGTGCAGTCACTGAACTAGGCAAAAGGACCTTCTCCTACTCCGCTCCTGTTTCCTGGAATATCTTGTAAAAAAAATCTGAAACTCTCGACCTTGACCTCTCTAAGTGGCTTCAAACATCTGATAAGTTCCTGGGAAAAACCTTTGCAGACATGTTCCTGATTTTAGTTTTCTACATCGCTTTTTGTTTTAGCTGTTTTTGTTTAGTTTTTTAAATACCATTTTCTTTCATTTAGTCTTCTCATTTTATGTGCTTTATTCTATGATTGTCCACTGTTGTCATCATTCTTTGTTAAATTCAGGTCTCTTTTGTAAATGGGATTAACCCGTATAAATAAAGGTTGAATGAATATGTGGATCATAAGCAGAAAGTGAATATTTAAAATCTAAAAGAATCAGAAATCTAACTTCAAGCTAGAAGAGGAACATACAGTACATGGCTAAAAGTAGCTCAATGCCAGCTAACCACAGCTAAAGGTTAGCTAAAAGTAGCAAAAGGCTGATTATGTGTAGCAACAAGTAAAATAAAGTAGATAATCACAAGCCTAAATGTAACCAAAAGCAATTTAAATGCTAAAAATAGAAAAAAACACTAGACTGAGGAACAGCTTCTACCCTGAGGCTGTTAGACTCATGAATTTCTGACCAGAATAACCACTGTGAAAAAATCACATCATGTTGCTGCTGATCTGTTTCATGTTGCTGCTGATCTGTTTCATGTTGCTGCTGATCTGTTTCATGTTGCTGCTGATCTGTTTCATGTTGCTGCTGATCTGTTCCATGTTGCTGCTGATCTGTTCCATGTTGCTGTGTTCATTCGTGCTCATCTGCTCACACAAACTCATGTTCGTGCTGCTGTTCAGCGTAATGTTTTTATGTTATTAGTGCTTAGTGTGGGTTTTAGTTAACATTTTTCTTAGTTCATGTCTTAGATCTTAGTACTGTTTTTATTTTACACTTTTTACTTTTGTTGGATGTAACTGGGACCCTGTGTACACAATTATAACAAATAAAGAACCTTGAATCCTTGAAAAAGTTAACTTTAAACTAATAGTAGCAAAAGGATAATAAAAACAAAGTAATAAAGGACTAGCTAAAAGTTGCAACATAGTAGCTAAAAGCTAAAAGTTAGCAAACATTTAAAAGTAGGGAAAGAGTAGTTAAACCAGTCTAACTAAAAGTAGCAAAAATGGTCACCAAATAAAGCAAAATGTTAGCTAGAAGAATCAAAAGACTGAAAACTACAACTGGCAAGGCAATAGCTAAAAGCAGCAAAAATCTAGCAAACCATATCAAAAGGCTTGTCTATAGCTAAAAGTATAAAAATGCCAGTTAAAAGCTATAAGTAACAAATTATGACCTAAAAGCTTAAAGCATCAAAAGGCTTGCTGAAAATTAAAATTAGCAGAACAAAATACAAAAACTAAAAAAGCAAAAGGCTATGTAGTTTAGCTAAAAACTAAAAGTAATAGAATGCTCACTAAAATAGCAAAGGCTAGCTAAAAATAATCTAAAGACTGAAAACTAAAATTAGCAAAAGAAAAGGTAAAAACTAACATCAGCAAAAAGTTAACAAGCATTACAAAAAGGCTAACTTATAGATAAACAAATCAAAAGGCAAAAGCTAAATGTAGCAGAACTGAAACTAAAAGTAGCTAAAGTTTAGCTTAAAGTAGCTGAATGGTAGATTAAAAACTAAAAAAATAGAGCCAGGCAGTACACTGAGGCAGATTTTAAAGAGTAAAATGCTTTTTCAAAAAGTGAACCGGTCGTAATGTCTTTCTAGGAAACACGTTTGTAAATAAAAGTAAATATTTTGAAAAGTATGTCATGACACCCATCTGCTGAATGAGCTGAACTTTTTGATATAATTAGTATAAAGTGTGCAGAAGCAGTTGGATTACCAAAAAAAAAAATCCAGAAAATTTAAAAACAATCATGTGGATGCTGAATCAGTAATGGTTTATGATGTGGCTATGGCCAAATGTTTAAAAGAAAATATATTGGAGCATAAATCGTGCAGCTGGTCTCTTATGTTATCTGTATTATGATGTCCTGTGTTTACAATAATATGAGCAAAAATACAATATTTCTAAAAAAGGAACGCTGAAATGATCAGTTTTATGAAATTATTTTATTAGGACAATCCTTTCTTTGTGGTCTACAGTCCCTCTGGCTTGGACTGATGGACCTAAAGCTACTAACCTCTTGTTCTCTCAGACCTGTTCCCGACCCTTCGGCTGTCAGTGGTGCGTGCAGAAAGTGGCCCCTGCGATGGAGGGATGACTCCCTGTTTCTTCTGTACAGCCATGCTACGTACTGAGCCTGGAATACCAGGGCTCCCTCTAAAATCCTCCCTCTTTCCTGTCCTCCTCCTCCTCCTTCGATTTTCTATTTCAAGATGCCTTTGGGTGCTCGCTCCAGTGCACAGTGAAAAAAATCTTCCTTCTGCGTCAACTGCTTGTCCATCTGTGCCTTACAAAGAACTGGAGAGAGGCAAGAAAACAAAACATCTTCATTGATTGGGAGATTTCTTTCAGATGTCCTCTGACTCCTGCAGGGTCTGCACAAATCTGAGCATGGTTTATTAAAAGGCTACTCCCCCTTTAAAGATCTCACCCTTGTGAGCTGCCCTGCTTTACTTTCACATAATGTAGTGTGTCACTTTAATTCCCCCTCCACACCGGATGCTTAGTGGAAGCAGGCAAGGAGATCCAGAGTATCCTGGAGATCCAAAGCTGCCCACATCAGTCATTACCATGACAACAGTGATGTAGGGTTCACTGACATGCATCGCTTGAATATTACGTCAATTTAATACAATGTCCCAGTATGGATGAGGCAAAACATATTTGTTTCCCCGTGTTTTCATGTTTTGGTTACCAGTGAAGTCCTCTGACCACTAGATGGAGACCATTCTTTACAGAGAACATAAAAAAATGAGTCATAGGCTGAAATTTTAAAGACAAATTTTGTGCTTCAACAATGAACAAGTAAAAGCCTGGCATTCTTTAAAGGAATGCATGTTGCCCGCTTTCATGCAATAATTTTTAAGTTAAATTGTTTTACGCCGTGATGGGGTTGTTTCTGTCCGACCTCATGAATGACATTATGCCCAGTGTCTAGCTGAAATGCAATATTTGCTAGTGTTTAGAGGAGTCTCAACTACTACCACAACACATTTTAGCTCAGTGTATGTAAAATAGAGTTAGAGCCATTTTTTTGTTGATCAACATCAATTAGTTGTGGTTACCAACTTGACTAGTATAGTGAATGTTAAAACTATCACTATAGGATGGTAATTTATAGACAGTCCATAGGGAGAACTACATCAAAAACTACACAACACTGCCCACTGTCTGTGATCCCACCATGACCACAAATGTAAGGAGTTTACTCTGATGATTATATGTCATGTATACACACACAGTAATATACAAACATGTAAGCTACATACTTGACACACATCTTTTTTGAAGTCACCATATTGAATAGACTTAAGTGTTGCTTTAGGTGGTGAGATGTAGTTGGACAGGTGTGATTGCAAATGATAGCCAGGTATGTGGAGAACTTGAAACGGTGACAAGAACATCTGGTGGAAAAAACTAAATATAATGAGATGGCAAGAAAAAGTCAGAATTCTACCAAATAAGCTCTAAACTGTATTAAAAACCAAACTAAGCCTGGACCTTTTGAAAGGAGAGATCAGCCAAGATGAACAGATCAGATGGTTGACCCTGGCATGCAAGATAGTTCTGTAGGATGGCCTGGTCGAACACTGGCAAAGGACCCGGCAGAGTATGGTCGGCCTGAACTTCTTGAATGGTTAGTGCATAAACTGTGACCAATAAAATTCCAGTCGCGATCATTAGATTAGTTTGACTTTGTCTTTTGTTTCCTTTTCAGGTTTGAGGGGGAGTAAGAAGAATCCAGGAGTCCAGAGGAACAGTGAAGCGAAATGGTGGAGAACGGGCAGGCAAGTGAGTAGATTGGCAAGTACAGTACATCTTTGTTGGAGAGTGATCAGTAAACCCGTTAGTTTGCCTTGAGAAAATATAAAATTTGAATCCATTTTATTTCTGTAACACCAAGTCACAACAGAAGTTGTCTAATGGCACTGAACAGAAACATTCACAAGCATAATAAAAAGTAAAGTTCTCTATCTGAGGAAGCAGCAGATTGTGATGACTCTTCACTTCGTCTCAGTGTCCCATCCTGAGCGAGCACAAAGGAGACAGTGGAAAGGAAAAACTCCCTTTAACAGGAAGAAACCTCCAGCAGAACCAGGCTCGGGACAAGCAGCCGTCTGCTTCAACCGGCTGGGTTTCAGAGGACAGAAAATAGAAACAAACACAGAATGACAGGTCCAGGTGTACTTTCTATAGGAGGAAAGACAAAAAACATGTTAAGATAAAAATAGTGACAAATATAAACAGGTAGAGCAAGTAAAGACAGCAGCAGAGGGAGGAAATGTGGTCAGTTTGTCCTCCAGCAGTCTAAGCTTGTAGCAGATCTATGGGATAGATAAAGAAAACCAAGCCAACCCTAACTATAGGATTTATCAACAAGGAAAGTCTTAAGTCCAGTCTTAAAACTGGACGATGTGTCAGCCTCATGGACAGGAACTGGAAGTTGGTTCCACAAGAGAGGAGCCTGAGAACTGAAATATCTTCCTCTCATTCTGCTTTTGAAAACTCTAGGAACCACAAGTAAACCTGCAGTCTGAGAGTGAAGTGCTCTGTTAGTAAAATGTGGAACAATAAGATCTGTAATATAAGATGGATCTAGGTTGTTGAGAGCTTTGTAGGTTAGAAGTAAGATTTTGAATTCTATTCTGGATTTGACAGGGAGCCAATGGAGAGAAGCTAAAACTGGAGAGAGATGATCTCTCCCAGTAACTCCAGTTAAGACTCTGGCAGCAGCATTTTGGATCAACTGAAGACGTTTTAAAGAAGTATTTGGACACCCAGATAATAAACCATTGCAATAGTCCAGTCTAGATGTGACAAATGTATGGACCAGTTTTTCTGCATCATCTTTAGATCAGATGTTTCTAATGTTAGTGATATTACGCAGGTGGAAGAAGACGGTTCTAGTAACGTTTTTAATGTGGGGGATAAAAGACATGTCCTGATCAAAAATAACACCAAGATTTTTAACATTAGAACTTCAAGGCAGTAATGAGCACAAGGACTAATAGAAGCTCTCCTATCCAGCCATCTTTGAAACCAGAGATGAAATCGTACAAAGGAAAAACACAAGATAAATACTGAGAAATGGGAAGGCCTGGGAAAGGATGGATCCTCACACGTCTTTCATGGCCCTTATTCATTGTAAGGCCCGGCCTGGATTGGAACGACCCAGGTTCCGCTCCAAGTTTTGAGTGTCGGCATTGAGCAATTTGACCCAGTTCCAGTTTGATTTTTGGAAACCAGAGACCTGGGGTTCCACTCAGGCCAGGCTGGTGCTGCAGATTGGACGTCAGCAGACTGGTGGCCATTGATTGGTTTTCTGACCTGGGGGATCACGTCACAGAAGAGTCATACGTCCAGCAACTGCTCCTTACTGCCATTTCCTTCAGCTACTTGCATCTGTTGGTTGGGAAATGGAGAGAGCTCTGACAACAAGGTGCAGTTATTGCTCAATTGAGTTTTGCACGGTCTTCTTATGAGGATCCCACCAAGATCAAGGTGGCACTCTGCTGAAAACAACAACCAAAAAAACAGCCGCGTAAGACCGAGGCTAGGCCGACTGTAGCAGGTGCAGGCCGGATCGGACTTTACAATGCATGAGAGGCATTATATTGCCTGGCCTGCCTGTAGTCCACACCTGCCATTCACTGACAAATGTTGGTGGTTTAACAGGGTAGGCCCAAAACTTCTGATCACCTGAAATCCCAGAATATGACCCCAGAGAATTTAAAATCCTCTCAGGTCTCTTCAGGTCACATCCAGCTGATCCCTACTTCCTTCTTACAGCAGTAACAACTGACTGTGTTTCACTGATGGACCTTGCCAAACACATGCACTCAAATGTGCCATAAAGATACTGCACCACAGTCAGGCAGTGTACCCACAGAGTCACTGCAGCACAGATGAGATGTGGACAGCCCATCTACAGCCATCAACAAAAAGAAGGGACTGTGGACACTGAACCTACATGGGATAAGATTGCATGGTTGGTATCAAGTCGTTCTGTGCTTCAGCCCAGCGACTATTATTAAAGGTGTCAGTTGAAGGGCTTGGTTGCTTGCTCATGCATATTCAAAAGGATTACCTAGGCATTATTATATGTCTATTGCTTAGTGATACTAATAAATATTTTGTTAATTGCACAATTCACTTAGATGGACAAAGGTGTTGCACCTTTTTTTTAAAAAATACCCAGATGTGTCCTCGGTGGCTTTGAAAGAACCTCAGTATTTAAACCTGAGCATGATGGCAGCTCCCTTCAGAGACTGAGGCTTGGATATTAAACTACTGGTAACATTGCACGTTTGTTGACATGGTTGGTGGCTATCCTAGAAGAATTTGGACATCTCCTAAACCTGCCTGAACTGCTGTTGAGTCATGTAATCAACAGCAGGTTCCTTCAACACGACTGCCAGGTCAACCCTCAAAAGCTGAAGGGCAGGGGGAGGATTTTTCTGTTCAAAATTAAATAAAATAAAACGATCTCCTTTCACAGATGTGTGTATGATGTTCTTCCTATGAACGAACAATATTAACATGTCCCCATTTTGTTCTGCTTCTTTTGTTGTGAACATTGATACCTCCTCATGATGAGGATGCCACATGCAACAATGACTGGGGCGCATCAATAATTCACTGCCTTGTCTCACTGGATACCAGCAACTTTAGACTTTGATGTACGGCTTACAGACTGGCTGGATGTGTAATTGATGAGAGGAGTCGTCGTTCAGCATCCTGTGGAAGATGCACTGAACAGAAGTTGTTAAAACATTCGCACCTCAACGAAAGAGTTCACTTCATTGTTGTTTAGCCTACATCTTTTTCAGTTTGTAAAGAAAATAACTAATGTCCTCGTTTTATCCTTAAACTTTTCAAGTGAATAGTTATGTTTGGATTGTATCCTTAGCGTTACATAACACAAATTATAGGTCAGTGTATAAAGTTAATAGAATTTAAGACATAAAAACTTTTTAGAGCATTTTGTGTTTATTGCATGACTTAAAGACTGTGTTTACCCTGAGACTCAGTTTGGAGCAACAGTCTATGAATGATTAACAAGGAGCATTCTTCAAGCTAAGCTGGGCGGACATTTTGCTTCTATGTAATCCTATCACTGATGACATGGAAATATATTGATTACCTCACCTTGGGATCGTCCAGCATTTTAAGGCTTTCCCTGGAGTTTTGTCTTGACATGCTTGCTTCTATTAGATGAAATATAACTATGAAAAAAGTTTGTAAGCTCAATCATCCAGGTAAATAGATCACAAAAAAGTTCAATTGTGTCATCTGGACAGATTCTTCTAGGAAAAACGTTTCGTCTTTCATCTGAAAGACATTGTCAGTCTGAGGCCTGCCAACCCAGATCTGTCATGTAAATAGCACCTTATTGATGTGGTTCCAGCCAGCCTGCTGTGGAGTTCCCAGAAACTGGCTTTACATTTGCAAAAAGGGACCATGTGTCTAAAACAATCTATCATCAGCATAACAATCAAATGTTTTAGGCCTGATGGCCAACTTGCTACTCACAGAAACAGCCTGGGGACACCTGGCCAAGATGTTCAGAAAAAGGTTCAAGGTTCTTTATTGTCATTCACATCACATGTGGCACACGAGATGGAACACAATGGTGTATTTTCATCAGTTTCTGCTGGCTTCAGTGATCTTTGCTGGTCCACCACTCCTGGGGAGGGTAGCAATGGTCTTGAATGTCCGTGGATTAGTGGAGTCCAAACTCTTTTAAATTAAACAGGGTGGCCACTCACACCTGATCATCATCCCATTGATTGAAAACACCAGACTCTAATTTCACCTTCAAATTAACTGCTAATCCTAGAGGTTCACATACTTTTAACCATTCACTAATATGTAATATTGGATCATTGTTCTCAATAAATAAATAAATGACCAATTATCACCAAGTGATACACTGCCTGGCCAAAAAAAAGTTGCCACAAAAAAAAAGTTCACACTAATATTTTGTTGGACCACCTTGCACTTTGATCACATCATGCATTCTCTGTGTCATTGTTTCTAGAAGCTTCTGCAACGTCACAAGATCTATTTCCATCCAGTGTTGCATTAATTTTTCACCAAGATCTTTCATTGATGACGAGACACTAGTCATGATGGGTGCATCACTTCACCTGTCTCTCTTCTTACCCTGATGCACCCATCACTCTGAAACAGGGTCAATCTGGACTCATCAGACCACATGACCTTCTTCCATTGCTCCAGAGTCCAATCTTTATGCTCCCTAACAAACTGAAGCTTTTTTTTCCAGTTACTCTCACTGGTTAGTGGTTTTCTTAAGGCTACACAGCTGTTCAGTCCCAGTCCCTTGAGTTCCTTCACATTGTGCGTGTGGAAATGCTCTTACTTTTACTATTAACCACAGCCCTGAGTGCTGCTGTTGTTTTTATTCCATTTGATTTCACCAAACGTTTAAATGATCGCCGATAACAGTCATTCAGGATTTTTTTCCAGCCAAATTTCTTGCTGGAAGACGATGGGTCTCCACTGTCCTTCCAGTTTTTAATAATGTGTTGGACAGTTCTTAACCCAGTTTTAGTATTTTCTACAATCTCCTGAGATGTTTCCTCTGCTTGATGCCGATGATTTGACCCTTCTCAAACAGACTGACATCTTTTCCACGACCACGTCATGTGTCTTTGACATGGTTGTTTAAGAAATGAGAAGCAACTCATCGCACCAGTTGGAGTTAAATAACTTGTTGCAGCTGAAAGATAATCGTCCGTGCAGTGATGATCCAATAGGAGGCTCGGACCTGTTTGCTTAGTTAAATCCAGGTGGAGACTTTTTTTTTTTTGGCCAGGCAGTGTATATGTATATTTACGCAACCTCTCCTAAAGTCTGATCATGCAAGTATAAATGCCAGTTATAAATCTTCTCCTGCCATTGAGTGTGGTTCTTTTGGGTAAACAACATTAGTGTGAGAGATTTTTTCCAACATATAATATTTTTGTCTCATTTGTTTAACTGGGTTCTCTTTATCTGTTTTTAGGACTTGTGTGAAAATCTGATGCTGATATAGGTCATATTTATGCAGAAATATAGAAAATTATAAAGGCTTCACACACTTTCAAGCGCCGTATGGTGGCAGCCATCTTGGATTTTGACGGGGGAATCCATTTTTCTAAAGGAACCTTTCCTATGGCTGGATGTGGCACGCACTGACAGGGAGGGTTTTACAATTTCTCCTCTTCGCTCTGCAACATTGGACAAATATTAATAATCTTGTTCAATGTATAAGAGCTCAGAATATGTGTTGGGACTCTGTTAGCAACAACCACACCACATTTATCTGTAAAATTGACTTTTTTTAAACCATTTTTGCATTTTTTAAGGTCAGTGACAGCATCCATCTGGAGTTGAATTTACTCCAGTGTTCATCAGTTGCAGTTGTACATCTATTCATAATTTCTTAAAAATTACTTTAAAATCTGTCCAGTTGTCCATGAAATATTTTAGTAACACACAGAAACATGAATTCACGCAAAGTTACAAACAAAAACTTTATCACCCGTCTTTCAGCAGTGGGTGAGAAAAACGAGCTTTAACTGGTAACACGTTGATGGTTCAGACTTTTGTATGACTGATGTTAAAATGTGTGTCTTGTTGTTGTCCCTCCTTGTGAAGACTGGAAGACTGATGTCTCTCAGCAGCAGTTAGTTATAGTTACCAGTCTCGGGTTCAGCACTCATGCAGTATTCATCGACGTATCGTGTGACTCCTGACCAACTTCAGACCTGGACAACACATTTCTTTTCTCTACCAGTTTCTTATTGTAGCCTTGATCTGGGTGCTCTGGAAACATCTAAAATGTTCATGTAGCAGCTCTTTTTGGGGAGAAAGTTGAGGTCAGAGGGCATCTTAGCCAAGAGAAACCTTTTGGATCTACCCGGACAAAAACAAGATAAGAGAATATTTCTCTTGTATGGTACGTAACATCCGATTATTTTAATTCCTAAACAACTGAGCGTTAAGTAAAAATTAAAAGTTATCAACTTTTGCACTTTAGGCCTCTTATGTGCACATGAAAGGTTTTATTCAAGCGGGAACCTTATATTTATATTTGTTAATATTTTTTATCTTTTTGAGATTAACATTTTTTCAGTCTTGTTCTTTGTCAATTTGTAAACTGCTCATCATTTGAAATTACCAAATATCCTGAGAAAATTACATATATTTATCAAGAAAACAGTTAAAAATAAATGTTTTTTTTGTTGTTTCTGATGAGTTTGACAGTCAACTAATAAAAATGACAGCAGTGGCGTTCATACAAGCCACAATATGAGTAATATTAAGTAATCTTTATTATGCAGAAGTTGGACGTTTTAGATACAAGCTGTGTAAGTATTTGCAGAGCACTTTGTAGATTAATTTCTGCAGATTAAGTGTATTATTTTTCACAATGCATGTGAAATGGATCCTATTCAGTTGGTGTATTAAGGTCAGATGATTTAAATAATTAAAAGCCCATTCAGAGGCAGCACCAAGGTGTGGTAGTGCCCTGACACTCCTCTCAAAATGTTACCACGTTAATTACATTTTAGCTCGGCTATGGCACATTTGTCATAATTTTGTGTTTTAATAAACGTGTATTTGACTTGTTTCAGATCACTTAATTGTACTTTTTAATTGATAAAGGTTTTAAAGAAAAACTGTGCTTCTAACTGGAGTGCATCCTCAAAGTTGAAGAAATATAAACAACTGTTTTATAGAGTTTCTTTAGTTTTTAGTGAAATAACATTATAGTTGGTAAAATTGACTTTATTTATTTATTTTATTTTTTGCTATAACCTGTACATTTTTTTGTAAATGTCTTTTCCAGAGACGCAAAGAATTCCTGTGAACCATGAAGCGCAGTAAGCACCGTGGACACAAGGAGGACAGAAACGGAGGTACAGTTCGCTTCAGGTCAACAGACGGACGTTTCTTCTTCTTGGAGAACGTCGTCGAACCAGTTTTCATCCTCAAACATCAAAAAGCAGCAGCATTTTTAACATTTTGATATTATGCTTCTAATGCCAGAAACTTTCTGCAGCAATGTTCAAGGCTGCTTCCTAACTTTGTGATCATCTAAGCTCGTAAAAATGCTTTCATTTGAATTTATGAATTGTATAAAAAGAATCAAGACCAAAATAAATGTTGAATCTGCTCCTCTTGGCTCCTTATGGTCACCATGGTAACGTCACACGTGTTGCTCTCACTCTCTGACTGCCAAGTTAATGAGAGGCAGGCCAAAAGCAGTGCAGACTGAAAAGAAAGCCTCAAACTTCTTGAACCATGAATGAAAGAAGACTGATGCTTTTACAGTGTTATTTGTAGGAGATGTGAACAATTAAAAATACCCATCACTTCCAGTTTTGAAAAAACATTTAGAGCTGTGAAAACGAATAAAACTTATGAATTGATGGGTTTGAATTTATGCATTCTGGAGTGATTTGACAGAAAATAGCAAGTCCTCTCTGGCAGTGAGAGATCCACTGGTTGAAGGAAGGCAAACCACCTGCCAGTACATTCTTTATACTTTGTGTATTGTGTGTACTAAAAAGTATGTAGAGATTTTTTTTATGTCAAAACTTTATATAAATTACAAGTTAGACTGTGACATCATTACCTGCCAGTTACACATTCTGGGGGAAATATTTGTATAATACATACAAATGTATTCAAATAGTAACATAACTGATGTGTGCTTGAGAGAACAGCAACAAACTAATCAAACTGTAAAAAAGTAGAAGTTTAGTGATAGCTAATGTAGCATTTACACCTGTATGCAGTTTATGAGATAAAGCTGTTTCGCAAGCTTAAATTATTTTGTTTAAAAAAAATTCTGCTGTTTGTTCTGTGACTGATGTCATAATTGATAAATTTCTAACTATTATAGTTTTTGGACAGAAAATCACATCAATAATGATGAGACCATCCCATAAATGATATATCGTCATTTTACAAGTTTATGACAGATAGTAATGTTTTTAATTAAAAAATGCCTGCCGGGTTAAAAGACAAATGTTTTAAAAATGAGCAAACAATTTTAGTGTTAATTTTGTAAAACTAAATACTGATACCCAAACCAACTTTGATCCAACAAGTGTCAGTGTTAGTTCACAATCTCTTCATACTGTATGTTTAATATGCTTAGAGAATGTTAAGTTTTATCTTAGCATTTGCTATATTTATCTACATATTTCAATCAATCAATCAACCTTTATTTATACAGGTAAATCCCATTGAGCCTCGAGGACTCATTTACAAGAGAGACCTGATTTCAACAAAGAAAGATGACAACAATGGACAACAGCAACAACAATAAACAATTATAAAAAAAAGCATACTACAGGTTTTTTTTTTTTTTTTAACAAATAGGATGGCTAAAAGGAAAAGGTAACAAAACAAAAAAAAAAAAAAAACAGCTAGATTCCAAGACAAATGTAGAAAACCAAAAAGCAGGAACATGTCAGCATTGGTCCCTGCCAGGTGTCCAACAGATTCTTAAAGACACTTAGAGAGGTCAAAGGTCGAGAGCTTCAAATCTTTTTGTAAGATATTCCAGGAAACAGGAGCGGAATAGGAGAAGGTCCTTTTGTCTAGTTCAGTCCTCATTGAGGGAACACTGCAGGTAATGATGTCCTGAGAGCGCACGCTGTAGCTGCACTCACGCAGAGACATGTAGGAGGAGATGTATGAAGGCAGCAGACCAAGAAGTGATTTAAAGATGAAAATATACCAGTGAGAGAGTCTGCGTGAAGTTAATGATGTCCAGTTAACCAGTGAATACTGGGTGCAGTGGTGGGTACGATAATCACAGCCAGTTATGAATCTTAGTGCACCATGATAGACAGCATCCAACATCTGCAGCATCCAACATCTGCAGGGTTCTTGTAGGAGTGTTCATGTAAATAATGTCACCGTAATCAATGGAGGGAAGGAAAGTCACAGATACAAGGCGTTTTCTAGCATTCAGGGTTAGACAGGATTTGTTTCTGAAAAAGAAACCCAGTTTAACTTTCAGTTTCTTTACCAAGTTTTCCACATGGAGCTTAAAAGAGAGATGTGAGTCGACCAAGATACCCAAATATTTATAGGAATCAACAAACTCAATGGGGACACCATTTGAGGATAAAATCGGAGGAAGAACTGCTGGGACCAACTTCCTATTGGAAAAAAAGCATCCCTTTGGTTTTGTCGGCATTTAGGACAAGTTTGAGGCGAAACAAATCAGTCTGGATGATGTTGAATGCAGATTTCAAAAGCTGGAAAGCCTTAGCAACAGTTTTAGCTCGACAATAAACAACTGTGTCGTCAGCATAGAAATGTATGGATGCATTAGGGATGTTTTTACCTACATTATGTATGTAGATTGTAAAGAGGGTGGGTCCTAAGACTGAGCCTTGTGGTACACCATTGTTGACTGTTAAATAACTGGAGGAAGTACCATTATGTTGAACACATTGCCTCCGGTCTGAAAGATAGTTAGAGAACCAACCAATGGTGTGATCTGAGAAACCGATTTCTGAGAGTTTATGACACAAGATGTTCTGATCCACAGTGTCAGAATCTTTAGACAGGTCTAAGAAAAGTGCAGCACAATAATCCTTAGCATCCAGTGCTTCAACAACATCATTAAGAACCTTCAGTGAAGCAGTGTTTTTTTTTTTTTTGCCACATTTGCTGCAAGCTTGTCGTCATTTGCAAAAAATAAACTTTTACAAAACTATAATTTTAAAATGTACACTTGTATAGCAACTATACGTTGTTATACAATAAAAACCAAGCAAACATTTCCTTCTGACTCAGTGTTTTTGCAGATGATGTGATGTTATATATGATAGCTCCAGGTATGTTTCAGTTCAAGGTTTGGTCTTTCCGTCTTTTTAACTTGGTCAAATTAGCCCTCTGGGTTAAAACCTTTGTCTATTCTTGATTTAAAACATGATTTTTTTTATATTCTGTAGATGAACCTGCCATTTTGGAGACACAGAATCTAGATCGTAATGGCATGTTACTGGGAGGAGGCCTGGACCCCGACACCATCTCTCTGGCCTCAGTCACAGCTGTCACCACAAATGTATCTAACAAAAGGCAAGCGGTATTCTTTTTGTCTTAATGTCAACATTTTAAATTGATTTGGTGCTTTTGTCTAAAGATTTGCACGGATTCTGTTCTTCCTTGTACAGATCCAAGCCCGATATCAAGATGGAGCCCAGCTCTGGAAGACCAGTGGATTACCAAGTAAAGCACAGTCGCTGTGTATAAACTGTACGTGTGAGTGAGCAAGATTTGGTTTTTAATTTCACGAAATATTTCAGGTCAGTGTGACTGTGATTGAAGCCAGGCAGCTGGTGGGCCTGAACATGGATCCAATGGTCTGTGTAGAGATTGGAGATGATAAAAAGTACACCTGCATGAAGGAATCAACTAACTGTCCTTACTACAATGAAGTAAGTTAGTCGTTGCAGCTAACTCCAGCTCCTATTAGCTAAAAATGCAAAGTTTATAAATGACATCTATGGCAAACTTTTATCTTCTCCAGTATTTTGTGTTCGACTTCCACATTCCTCCAGATGTGATGTTCGACAAAATCCTGAAAGTGTCTGTAAGTATTTTTTAATGTATTATTTTTATTTTGATTATGATGATCAGTTTAATCAATGTTGCAGTTTTATTTATTTGTTCAATTATTCATTTGCTAAACTTACATTTAGGTGATCCACTCCAAAAATCTCCTGCGCAGTGGAACACTAGTTGGGACTTTTAAGATGGATGTTGGCACGATTTACTCCCAGCCAGGTAAACCGTCTGCAAACATCAACATTATTTTCTGTTTAATTCACTGTAAACTGTGATATATCAGGTCCGTTTCCTTACAGAACATCAGTTTTACCATAAATGGGCCCTGCTGTCCGACCCGGAGGACATCACAGCAGGATGTAAAGGCTACGTTAAATGTGACGTTGCAGTCGTGGCTAAAGGAGACACGATCAAAACTCCACACAAGGCCAATGAATCTGATGAGGATGACATAGAGGGGTAAATAAACCATGGACCTGTACTGGAAATTTTCATTTATAGCTTTTATGGAAAAGTATAATTCAATTTAGCCTTTATTTATACAATTTATTCTCAATGAGCCTTGAGGACTCATTTACTATAAAGAGCTGTAAAACAACTAGAGAAACGTATTTTATGCAATAACTGCATTGTCTGCAAAAATGAATATGGAGTGCTGGGTAACTTTGCTGAAATTTGCTAAAAAAGCTAAAAGTGAGTTGTTAAAAGCTAAAAATAAAAAGCAAAACACTAGTTAAAAACTATCAGGAGTAAAAAAAACTAACTAAAAGTTATATTTTGCCAGAAGAAATACAAACTAAAAGTAGCAAAACACAAGCTAAAAATTTAAAATGACAAAATTCTAGAAAAATGCTAAATTTAACTAAATATTAGCCAAAAGCTAAAATGGGCAAAACAATAGATAAAAGTAGCCAAAAGGTCGCTATGATTAGAAAAAAAATAGTTGAAATTTTGAACAATCTTGCTATAAGCTAAAATGATCAAAAGGCTAGCTAAAACCTAAAATATGCAAAACTGTAGCTACAAGTTAGAAGTACCAAAAGGCCACTCAAAAGCTAAACATTAAAAAGAGTTGCTAAAAGAATCTAAAAGCTAGCTAGAGGCTACAAATAGATACAGATGATAATACAAGTAGATCATTAGCCAAAGAGTCCCGATACACTTTCAAAATTGTAGCTAACAATTAAAAGTAGTGAATGGCTTCTTAAAAGTTTAAAAGCGCAAAAGTCTAGTTAAAAGTTGCAGAACTGTAGCTATAATTGAAATTTCAATGGAATTCTATGTGGAAAATATTTATCAGTATAGTTAATTTTTTTTTTTTTTTAAATATATGAAATTTAACAAATGTCAAAAGTTATAGCACTCAACCTGTGCATGACCATGATGTCATGATATATATATATATATATATATTTATTTATTTATTTATTTATTAATTATTATTATTATTGTTTGTTTGTTTTTTCACACAAAAACATTTTGTTTCAGTAATTTGCTGCTGCCAGACGGGGTGCCCTCAGAGCGACAGTGGGCTCGATATTACCTAAAGATCTACAAAGCAGAGGGTCTCCCCAGGATGAACACCAGCCTCATGGCCAACGTGAAGAAGGCCTTCATTGGAGAAAATAAGGACTTGGTTGATCCTTATGTCCAAGTGCATTTTGCTGGGCAGAAGGTGAGTCCAACACGATTCTTGTCCTTTCTTTTATTCCAGCCAGGATCAAATAATCAAAGTCTTGTGTGGAAAAATGTTTGATTTCAGGGGAAAACGTCCGTTCAGAAGAGCTGCTATGAGCCCATCTGGAACGAGCAAATCATTTTTACGGAGATGTTTCCACCACTGTGCAAACGCATGAAGATCCAGATCCGTGACTCGGACAAAGTGAATGATGTGGCTATAGGAACACACTTCTTAGATCTCAAGAAGATTTCCAACGATGGGGACAAAGGTGACTTATCCTTTATCCTTCAAACACTGTGTGACTCACACTGAGCAAGAATTGAATTGTATGTGTAGCAGGGGAACAATGAGCATCCCATAAAACTTCCAAACCATTCCAAAGATGCACATCCTCACACTCGTCATTTCTCAGGCTTCCTCCCCACCCTGGGCCCAGCCTGGGTGAACATGTATGGCTCCACTCGAACCTACACCCTGATGGACGAGTACCAGGAGTTAAACGAAGGGCTCGGTGAAGGCGTGTCCTTCAGGGCCCGTTTGCTCATCAGCCTGGGAGTAGAGATCCTTGACCCCTCCTCGCCTGACATTACCAGCTCCACGGACGTGCAGGTGGAGGGAGTGCCCAACATCTCAGAGGTGGGTCCCTGCGGCTCGGGCAGCCATGCAGAGGGAGTCACTCCTGATGAATTATTGAACGCTGTGCTGGGGCAACACTAATAGTGCCATCAGATCTCTCTCTCTTTTTTTACACCACCAAAAATGTTTGTTCTTTTCCACAGAGTGCTACGGGGAAAGTTGAGGATTTTTTTCTCTTTGGGTCTTTCTTGGAGGCCACAATGATCGACAGAAAGATTGGCGATAAGCCGATCAACTTCGAGGTCACCATAGGTATTTTATTATCGATTTAAACCGAAAGCGATGAGAAGTTGAATCAAATCCCCAAAATATTTATTGACCACTCTGCTGCATTTAGGTTACTATGGAAACGAGAATGATGGAGATATCCAAGCGAAAACAACGGGGAAGAAAAGCGATGGTGATGAGGAGGAAACTGAATTGATCCACAACTCCAGCGACGAGGAGCTGGACGATGCTGGAGACCTGACTTCAGTTGCAGCATCTCCTCCCATGAAACCTGTCATCACAGACGGGTTAGAGCAATAAAAGTTTCATAAAATGCATTTAACAAAACTTTCAAGCATTTAATTTGTACAAGTTTGTGGTAAAAATATTTGTTATGTATTGTACATATATCTATTCAGCCAGCATTTCCATTAAATACTGTAAATTCTCATTTCGTTCCTAGAAACTACTTCCATCTGCCTTACTTCGAGAGGAAGCCGTGCATTTACATCAAGAGTTGGTGGCAGGATCAGAGGAGAAGACTCTACAACGCCAATATTATCGACAACATCGCTGATAAACTGGCAAGCGTTCATCTTTACGAGCAGCTCAGTGCATCTCGAGCTACGCTAAATTAATAACTAAAGAAATTGTTTTTTTATGTGGAAATGCAGCTTAAAACCTGAAGGGTTTGTTTGAATTTTCTAAAACCAGATTGATAAAACAATGACGTAGAGCAGAAGTTAAAGGCTAAAGAAATGAAAACACAAACCTAAAAATAAAAACACTAGTTAAAATTAAAAAGTTGTGAAATGCAAGAAAAAATAAAAGTAACAAAATGGAGCCAAAAATCTAAAAGTAATAAAAGTCTAGGTAAAAGCTACAAGAAACAAAACACAAAAAGTAGCAAATGTTAGCGAAAAGTAGCAAAATATTAGCTAAAAAATAAAAGCACCAACAGATTAGTTAAATGCTAAAGTATCAAAAGGGAAGCTGAAAACTAAAATTAACAAAAGGTTGGCTAAATTTTTTTTAACAGCAAGCTAGAAGCTAAAAGTTGCAAAATGCTAATAAAATGCTAATAGCATCACCAGGTGAGCTAAAAGACGATGTAAGAAAATAGTAGCTGAAATATAAAAAGCTTGCTAGAAGCTTAAAGTAGCAAACGGCTAGCTAAATGCTAAAAAGTACCAAAAGAAGACAAATATTGGCTATAATTTAAATCTGGATCTTTAAAGCTAATGGAAGCAGAATGCTAAAAGTAGCAAAACATCAGCTAAAAACTGCACAATGTAAGTTCTAAGCTAAAACTATTAACAGACTAGTATGAGTAAAAGCCTGGTTGCTAAATGCTAAAAGTAGCCGAACCGTAGCTAAGCACTTAAAGAAGCAGATTTCAAATAAACTTTTTGAAGGAATTGAAGAAATCCTAATGAATTTATATTGTGAACATAATTTGTAAACAAAGTTAAATTTGTTTGAAAAGAAGAAGAAATGTAAAACAACTAACACAAAAATCATAATATTCATCTTCCGAGAGATCATTTTGATTTAGGATTCGCTAAAATAGCACAAAGTTTATGCAGAAGTCGTGGCTGCAGAAAAACTTACAAAAACATATAGAACAGGAAAACCATGTTAGTTATGATTTAGTGTTCATAATTTATTATATCAGTGACTATAATGAGTGAAGTTGACTGTTTTTGTAGGAGGACGGCCTGAACGACGTGCACGAGATCATCAAAACAGAGAAGACCTACCCTGAACGCAGACTGAGAGGCGTTCTTGAAGAGCTCAGCCAAGGATGCAGGTGTGTTACAAACAGGAATAAAAAAAAATAAGGTCTGATTATTTATTTCAAAGTCTGAAGAAGCTCCTGTTCTTTCAGTCAGTTTCTTTCATTGGCCAACAAGGACCAGAATCAGTCTGGCAGAACCAAACTGGACAGGGAGAGACTAAAGCTGTGCTTGTCCGAAGTGGTAGGTTGGCTGAAGACGGAACTTTCCTGCTATTTAATGTTTGTTGTGTCTGACTGAATGGTTTAACGTCTCTGTTTGTAGGAGGCCATAGGTCAACAAGCTAAGGCCATGAGGACGCAGGTGAAGAAAAGCACCGTGAGAGAGAAACTCAAGTTGGCTCAGAACTTTCTTTCAAAGCTGCGCTTCCTGGCTGATGAAGTAGGACTCCCAGCTCATGGGCCGTTTCACATCTTTTAATGTTTGCAAGTGGCATGTTTGATATTTATTTATTTATTAATTTAATGCAGCCTCAGCACAGTGTTCCTGATGTTTTCATTTGGATGATCAGTAACGGGAAGCGCATCGCTTACGCCCGCGTCCCTTCCAAAGACATCCTTTACTCCAGCATCGACGAGGAGAAGGGAAAAGACTGTGGCAAAGTTAAAACTATCTTCCTCCGGGTGAGTTTCAACTAAATATGGGTAACTGTAATTAACTGTAATTAACTTTAACTCATATTGTTTTGACTTTTTTTTTTTTTTTGGCATAAAAGATTCCTGGTAAAAAAGGTTTTGGACCTGCTGGATGGACCGTCCAGTCCAAAATAGAGATTTATCTGTGGCTGGGTCTGAGTAGGCAGCGCAAAGATTACCTGAGTGGACTGCCCAACGGATTTGAGGAAAATAAGTTGTCCAAAGGGCCCGGTCTGCCATCTTCACCTCCCATCAGCCTCACCTACATGAGTAAGACTTTTCACAGGTTCAGTCGTTCTGTCATACTTAGTTTAAATATAAGAACTTAAAAAATAAATAAATAAAATAAACTAGGATGCATATCACTTGCTGCATTGCATACCAACCTCTAACTCAATATCTGTAAACTTGACCGCGTTTTAATCATTTTTGCGTTTAGCCTCAGAATTAAATGTTTAATATGTCCATCCAACCATTGCTTTCTGGGATTTTTCTGAAAATCCAGTCAGTGGTTTATGAGATATTTAGCTAACAGTGAAACAGGATAGACGTTTTAAACAGAGCTTTTATAGGTGCCTCTCAGTTAATACCGTGCCATGCACCATCTCTGTAAAGTCACAGAGTTTTTGTATTTTCCATATAGACAACCAAATACACACAAACATGTTTACACATTTTCCTCCTTTCGTGTCAGCGGGTGATATTAGGAAAAGCATCTTTAGAAACATCCTTTGTTTTCTTTTATATGTTACGTGCGTTGATGTTTGTGTTCAGTGAAACAGATCTTCCAGTTGAGGGTCCACATGTACCAAGCTCGCAGCCTGTTTGCTGCTGACAGCACAGGTCTGTCCGATCCTTTTGCAAGAGTTTTCTTCTCAACTCAGAGCCAGGTTACCGAGGTAAATGTGCCGTTCATAAAAAATATTTATGGTAGATTCTGGGTCTTAAATACTTTGGGTTTTTTGTTTGTGCAGGTGCTGTCTGAGACTCTGTGCCCTACGTGGGACCAGCTGCTGGTGTTTGAGAACGTGGAGCTGTTCGGAGAGGCCAGCGAGCTGAGAGACGACCCCCCGATTATTGTCATTGAACTCTATGATCAGGACACAGTGGTGAGGGATGTTTTCAAATAGAAACAACTCACTGTTTCAGTTTTTAAATGTCCCCAGTCGCAGAGGGAGAATTATAAATACCATCCGTTCGTCCAAGCCTTTTGTGAGCATGAAAACTTGAAAAATGTGCGAGGTACAAACTTCCGTTTTGGTGCTTGTCTACATCTAGACATGACATAAAATTTCCCTTCTTAAACTGGACTTCCACATTGAAATCCAAGATGGCTGCCGCCGTATATGTCTGCCTGTCTTGTGAATTGAATAACTTGAAAAAATCGCAATGTGTAAACTTTTGTTCAGATATGTGATTGAATCTACGCATACAAAAAGTTCACAATCAAAAACTGGGTTGCCGCGTCAAAATCCAAGATGGCCACTGCCATTTAAATGCGTAGACTGACCACCCCTCTCATTTGAGGAAACTAATCTTGCTAGTTTTTATATTGCTTAAAGTTTAGTGTCCTCAAATTAATTGGGGTGTCCCTTGGGATGGCTAAAGGTTAATTTATGGTGGCCACGGCCACCATCGGCCACCTACTGGCTCTACCTACTGTATGCACCTGGTGGTGGACTCCCTCCACTTGCCAGGATCTGTTACTTTGCTTTACATCAGACAAAAAACAAACAAAAAACTACTTATCTTCTTACACACAGTATAATTCCTACCTACTTGCACCAAAAACATTGTTTATTTGCATTCCCTGTTTAATTCCAATCCTGAAAAACACTCACCCTCAAAACTACAAACGTTCACCATTCAACTCCCTCAGCGACTGGGGACATCGGTGTACCACATGTTGACCAGAGTAAGAACTCTACCTTTGAACGGTGTAAATTTCTGAATGTTGATAACATGTTCCTTCATTTTTTCACCCTAAAATGTACCGAAATGTTTTGATAGTGTCTGTATCACCTTGACTTGTATGTGAAAGAACACGTTTGCTGACTGATCATTTTATATTTGCTCCTGACAAAAACACCATTGTTTTGGATGACCGAATGTGGATAAGTAGAGTGTGGATTGCCTTGATGTACGGTAGCAGAACTGTAATGTGTGCAGAGCAGAATCTATGGAAAGGCATGCAAGAGGAATAAGACATGTTCATAGGGACAAACAAAAGGACTTCTCACATAAATCTTATCCCTGTTGCATTCCTTGAAGTGACATTGAATGTGTTGTTTATGTGGCCAGCAGTAAATTGAACTCTTTGTAACCACTAACTGCAAGAAAGATTTAGTTGCATAGTTTTCTTTTGGATCAAGTCATTATCTAACTATGCCATTTGGATAAATATCTATTTTGCAGTTCACTGGTTAATTTTGGTAATCTGGATGTTATTTGCTTTGCTTTGAGTACTTTTTGTCACAATGTTTTAATCTAGTCAGCACAGAAACATGTGCATATCGAGCCATGTTTCATATTGTTTGTCAAAAGAAAACATATTTACTACAATCATTTTTTTTTACTTACAGTGCCTTGCATTAGCGTTCATCCCTCCTGATAATTTTTATATTTTGTTGCTTTTGAATGTGGAGTGTAATTGGATTTTATTTAGATTAAAATGATCTAAAAACACTTCCAATTCCAGATTTTAGAGCAACAAATAAAAAGATTACCATGAGGATGAATGTTTTGCAACTCACTGGACTGATATTTGCACTGAAATGCTGAAACTGGTAGCTAAATAGTTTTTCTTCACATATTGGGTCCAGATTTCATGTTTACTTGTGTGCATGTTGCTCGTAGGGGAAAGCTGATTTCATGGGAAGAACCTTTGCTAAGCCCGTGGTGAAAATGGCCGACGAGCACTACGGGCCACCGCGCTTCCCCCCTCAGCTGGAGTACTATCAGATCTATCGTGGGAACGGTGCTGCTGGAGAAATGCTGGCAGCCTTTGAGCTGCTTCAGGTTAGACTCTCACAGCATCACAATCATGCTCCGCGAGTTTACGCTTTTTATGGTTTTACAGCGTGTGTTGTCTTTTAGATCGGCCCCAATGGAAAAGCAGACCTTCCCCCCATTGATGGCCCCACAGACATGGACCGTGGCCCGATCCTGCCTGTACCACTGGGGATCAGACCAGTACTCAGCAAATACAGAATTGAGGTGAAAACGTCACAGTGATCAACATGATCTCAATAATTCTTACGAAGTGTTCTAGAATACATCAACACAAGCAAAAGGTCTAATTCCCTTTTTTCAGGTTTTGTTCTGGGGATTGAGGGACTTGAAGCGAATAAATCTTGCCCAGGTGGATCGGCCTCGTGTGGACATTGAATGTGCAGGAAAAGGACTGCAATCTGCTCTCATTCAAAACTACAAGAAGAACCCCAACTTCAGCACACTAGTCAAGTGGTTTGAAGTGGTACGGCGTTATCTACCTTTAATTACACTGTTATCCTCTGCAAAGGTAGAATTTAAGGCCCTGTTTACACAAGTGTTTTATGTATAACAGCAACTTTTCTGCTGCGGTTCAGCCATTCACGTACACCAGAGGTGTCAAACTCACTTACAAAAGGGGGCTAAAATTAAAACCTTTTTCAAACTAAAGGCCAATTTCAGAATCTACATTAAATCAAATCAGATACCCAGCATCTTTTCTTGGTCACAGGTTTCTCAACGAGAGTTTGAGTGGTCTCATTTGATGTTTTCTGTTGTGCTTTCGACATCATAATCAAATATTACAGAAAAAAAAATCAAGAAATAGAAGTATTTTATGTTTCACATATCATCTTGGGGGCCAGATAAGATGTCAACAAGGGCCACATTTGGCCCCCAGGCCTTGAGTTTGACACATACATGACGTACACAATAGTCCTCGTCCTCTCTAAAACTGAAGTTTTTTTGGGGATCCAGGTCTCAGAGTGGAGGTTTTCGGGGGAAATTGGAGGTGTGAAATACTCCATGGGTGTGAAATGGCACATGTGCACTATAGGCAGCTGCAGTCAAAAGCTTTTCTGTACCGACAGCAGTTACAATAAATGGCAGAGAGCAGGGTGTTTTGTCCTACTCACCATTTTTCAGCATGTAGGAACAAATCAACAACATCCTAGGACCAAGGTAATGTTCCTGTATTCACCAGTTTAGATGTAATTGTGATCATGCAGACTCTGATGCAGCTGAGTCCAGCATCTGTGTTGCCAGATAAACTTGGACATGTTTTTACACCCTCCTTTTTTGTGCACATGTTCACCAAACACAGCACACACCTCCACCACCTTAAGTCTAAATGCCTGGCTAGCTCAGTCGGCTGAGCATGAGACTTTTAATTTCAGGGTCGTGGGTTCAAGCCCCACGTTGGGTGCCAAAATGTAGTGACTTTACATTGAAACTTTAAATAACCACAATTTGTGATGACATCAAAAATCAGGGTTGATTGTAAAGAAATTTGCAGGTCAAACCAAACAACTGGACACTCAAAGTATCAAAAAAGAACACAAAATCTTTCACAAACTAACTCCGATCTTCTTTATACCTTCCATTTACATCAAAGGCTTATATAAACATACCATATAATAAGTTGTTATTTGGCTTGTCAGTATAATCTTACTTGAGAAACTTTTTTTCCTGGGTGAATGCCCAGACATTTCAGCGCCGGACACAAAACAACACATACCTTTATCTAGCATGTAAGATATTGTCAGTTTGAAACAAACCATTCCGTATTTGGTCACACTCTGGCATCTTCTGTGTGGGCTTTCTATACAAATAAAACTTTTCTACTTCAATCTAACACCTTGACTCAGCATATATGATAGTTTGGGTCAAAATACAATGTTTAATAAAACAGTTTAATATTTATTTTCTGGAAACCCTGCCTGGTATGGAAACTACAGCGTTTCCATGTAAACCATTCGGTTTTAATTTATTAATCCCAATAAATATTGAAACAATACTAATGTTTCCAGAGGTCGTTCTTGTGTAAACAGCCTAAAGATCTGGGTCTGAAGCCACATAGACCTAGCATTCTTTGAAGGAATGCATATCACCTGCCGTCTTCAGTTGGTTTGACTTCTAAAGTTCGTTATTACTTTCTGCAAGTTTCATTGAAATCCCTCCAGTGGCTCATGAGATATTTTGCCAACAAACTCCTGCACACCCAGACAGGCAAAACCATTATGGTTTGCCTTTGCTTTTCAGCGGCAAAACTTACTCTGTTTTTAAAACAAACCACTGATTTTAATTCCTATCCTAATCTAATTTTCTTTAGGATTTGCCAGAGAATGAGCTGCTTCACCCACCGCTGAACATTCGAGTGGTGGACTGCAGAGCTTTTGGCCGCTACACTTTGGTCGGCAACAACGCTGTGACCAGCCTGAGGAAGTTCATCTACAGGGGGGCAGATAAGCAGGCCAATAACTGGTCCACAACAGGTAAAACCGAAAACCCAGGTCACATTACAGTCAGGCTTTACTAAAGCTTTACTGTTTATATAAACTGCAGTGATGTGGTTTCCATATGGAATTTCATAATAAAGGTTGAACGTGTATGTCATTTGTGTATCTTTCAGAGGAAATTGTTGTTGTCAGCATGGAAACTGAGCCTGCCTTCAAGAAGATGGAAACTGTAGTCAAACTAGACTCTGTAGGTTTCACAGTTTACAACTTTTATTCAAAGATTTAAAGTAGGAGCTGCAGTAGCTCACTGCTCGGTGCTGCTTGTAACCCTGAGGCTGCAGGTTTGAGCAGTGGTTGCATCAGGAAGTGCATCTGGTGCAAGACGGTTGCCAAATCATTCAGGCTCGCTAAGCAACTTCTGCAGTGGTGACCCCTGCAGAAGGGAGATGAATAAAGTAAAATAACAACTCAAAGCAGTTAGACATAAATCAGTAAGCTGCACTGACATTATATTTTGTAATTGAAGGAATGCATATTGCTCTCTGCTTTTCATACCAGAGTTTTAGGTTGCGATCACAAAATGTTAAGAAATACCAGAACTGTAGCAGTTTGATTAAATCTGAAAATAATGTGCAACCTCAAGCAGAACTGTGATATTTCTCGCACGGTGTGTTAATATGGGTTCTGAATGACTGTTAGCTAACACCACAACTAATCTTAGCTTGATATCTGTGAACATTCACTGAAGTGTGTTTGCAAAGGTCAGTTAGCTGTGTAAGCCAGTGGGGAGTTTAACCTCTTTTGGGGGGTGCTCAAGCACCTCTAAATTTTATCTAAGCTCCCCTGAAAAATAAAGAAACTATCATTAGAATTTTGTAAGGAAACTCTGTTCTCAAACCTGAGATTCATCAAAATATCGAATAACTTTGGAATAAATGATGGCACTCTTAAACGGCTATGAAGTTTTTTTGCACGAGTCAGATCCTCAATGCCACCTGTCAATCAGTCCAGTAGGCATGTCAGCAACTGACCAATCAGCAATCTCAATTTGTTCCGAAGGTAAACACACCTTACCTGCAAGAGCTGTTGGGGAGGGTGTAGGATGAGAGAAGCGGAGTGCTACGTCTGTAGTATTTTAGCTAGCACAAGCCACGAGTAATTGTCTGCACTGGGGGCTGAGCACCCCTAAATGTCAGATTCTAGAATCGTCCCTGGTGGAAGCCGTCTTAAATTGGGCTGATAAAGTTAATCAGTTGTAGGGGTACATTCAAGGTTTACTTTCGGAGTGTCCAGCAGTTGACAAGATATTTTACTAACAAACAATAATGCCAAAGTTTTAAGCAAAGGTTTTACATTTAAAGTATGGAGATGTTGTTTAGCTGCTACGACACCGAGCTTAAGTTAATTTTCTGTAAAGCTGACCGAGTTGTAGTCATTTTTTTGTTTTTAAATGTCAACTGGCTGTGGTGGCCATTTTGAATTAGGTTGAGTCCAAAGGTATTCAGTTGTTTGTGTCAGTGTATTGATTACTTTCTGAAAGTTTCAGTAGAATTTTTTCAGCGATTCATAAAATATGTCATTTCGTAAACGAGTGCCCGGTGATTTGACACTGTTCGATCTGCTGTTCTTCTCCAGGGCTCTGAAGCTGTGGTCAAGGTGGAGGTAGGTGTTTGATGAAGCATTTCATGCAGAGTTAATTACTCTCAAAGTCTTAATGACAGGATTTGTTTCTTGTGTTCAATAAACAGGATGATGACAAGGATGAAAAGGGTAAAAAGAAGAAGAGGAAGAAGGGCGATGAACCTGAAGAGGAGGAACTTGATGAGAGCATGTTGGACTGGTGGTCCAAATATTTTGCGTCCATTGAAACATTGACTGAAGTGAGTAACATTTATCATTACGTAGCCCCTCACTTACGTTCCAGACACACCTGCGATAGGTGACAATCCACAAGTAGAGACATTATATTTATTTTAGTTTTTTATATACATTTTAAGGCTTTATAAACCCCACACTCTTGAAATGTTCTTAACAATGTTCTAAACTCTAAATGCTCTAAAAGAGCACAGCGTGTCATGACCTTCGCTCTCTGCCACACCCACTTTTCCGCCACAGTCACACTCATAACCTGTGTCACTCTCAACCTTCCTCCTGCTACACTGTAAATAAACTATTTAAATTTAAATAATAGTTTAAATAATCGAGTGCGACCCATAACCGAGCCTTTAGTCCCCCTCGGCAAACACTGAGCGGGCCAGGCCACCGGGAAATGTCCCAGTGATCCCGATGGCCAGTCCACCCCCAATCTCCCTCCTGCTGCACCTGTGCGTGCACTTTTTTTTTCTACCCAGTCTCTGCCTCCTTGCCACATTGTCTGATCACCTCGTGCCTGAAGTATCCAGCATTCTTGTTCCTGCTCTCGTTCTTGACCACGAGTTCCTCGCCCTTTGCCTTGCCCAAGACAGATACTTCTGCCCATCCGATATCTGGACCTTGACTTCTGCTCTGCCTTCAGAGCACCGATTCCAGCTAAACTCCTCGGATAAGTTTAGCTTTTTCTGCCTCTATGTGAATGACCGACACCTGTGTTTTTGACCATGAACTCAGACCTCGGACTCTAAGAGTTGAGCTCTCAGAATCAAGCTCCACATTCTGAAGAGTGTTTGTCGGACTTTCGCTCACATATCACGTGATCCGTCCAAACCTCCTTTCCCTCTGACATCATTACAGCTTTGGCTTCTCCACCTGTGATCGAGTTCTTCAGAGTCACGGCTGACTTTCTCCTCCTGATGAAACTTTAAATAAATATTTTTGTTCACTCCTGTGTGTGGTTGAATTTCCAGGACAAATAACGAAACTCTGACTGACTCTGACCTCTTCCAGCTCTTCTGGGAGGACTACCATGGTGTTCCCAGGCCAACCGAGAAAAGTAGTCTCTCCAGCATGTCCTGGGTCTTCCCCAGGGTCTCCTCCCAGTCTGACATGCCTGAATCACCTCCCTAGGGAGGCACCCAGAAGCATCCTTACCAGAAGCCTGAACCACTTCAACTGACTCCTCTGGATGTGGAGGAGCAGTGGTTCGACTCCCAATCTCTCCTGATAACCAAACTTCTCCCCCTGTCTCTAAGGGAGTGTCCAGCTACCCTGCAGAGGAAACTCATTTCAACCTCCTGTATCCACGACCTCATTCTTTCAGTCACGACCCAGAGTTCATGACCAGAGGTGAGGGGAGGAGCGTAGAACAACCGGTAAACAGAGAGCTTTGCCTTACAGCTCAGCTCCCTCTTCACCACAATGGACCAGCACAGAGGCCACAATACTGCAGACGATGCACCAATCTGTCTGTCAATCTCACGCTCCATTCTTCCTTCACTCATGAACAAAACCTCAAGATACTTGAACTCTTCAACTTGAGGCAGAACCTCACCCTCGACCCAAAGAGAACAATCCACCCTTTTCTGACTGAGGACCAATGATTTACTTCCTCATAAACCTTCAAATCGTGTGCCAAAGCAGTGACGTCACTTCGGCACTTTCGAAGCTTCGGACATCATGGATCACGTTGGCTGTGCCAAACAAATAAAGCTTCAACACAGAGCTTCAGAAACTTTGGGTTGTTTTTAATAGATGCCTTGGAGCTTCAGCTTCAGAGGGCCCATCATTACTAAAAAACAAAGTAACAAGCAAACAACAGCTAAAAGGCTAAAAGGACCATGACAATGAAATAGCTGGAAAAAAATATATACCTGTGTGTGTGTGTGTGTGTGTGTGTATATATATATATATATATATATATATATATATAAATATATATATATATAAACAAATATGAACAGGAAAACTATAGTCTAAATACTCAGTTAATGTTCACACAATTTCACTTCTATTCTTTCAGGCTCTGAAAGCACAAGAAGCAGCTCTCTCAGATACGGAGGAAAAAGACGACATGGATGTTACAGATCGAGGAGGTACAACCAAATGAGGTCTTAAATTAAAGGCCCAACATCCCGTTCGTTTCACAGATTTAGACGTATAAATTATTTTGTGTTGGAAAATGATGGAAATTTAGCTGTTTTAGTCAAACCCTGAAAATACCGTTAGCGCAATTTCACCCTGAAATGTAGTGCTGTAGCTGCATCTCAGCTACTACAACATAAACTTAAGCTCAGTTTGTGTTAACTTGACAAAGTTCAGTCATTTTTAGTTTGGCTAATTAGCTCTGGCAACTAGCTTAAATTGGATCGACCCCAAAAGTTAATCAGCTGTAGATGTACATCCACTTATCACTTTCTGACAGTTTTATTAAATATCAAGCTCATGAGTTATTTTGTTAACACTCAAAAAAGTTTGTTTTTAATGGTTATTGCTAAAATTCTGCAATGACTGGCATTTGGATTATTATTAACAGCGCTCACTGACAGGCAAATTTTAACTTATTTTCAGCTAGTTGCAACTAATTTCAGCTGTTTTTCTTTCAGCTGTTTTGTGCTTCTTTCAGATTCTTTCTGCTAATTTCAGCTTGTTGTGCGCCTTTTAGCTTTTCTGCTATTTAAGTTACAATTTAGCTGTTTTTATGCTAAACTTAGCTTTTTTGGTTAATTCCACATTTTTTACACTCCAACTTTTTCAGCCTACTTGAGCAAAAATGTGCTCTCTCACTTCTGATAATTTAAGCTTTTTTCTGCTTTTTAAGCTACTTTTCACTTGGTTTTTTTTTTTGTTTTTTGGGTGCTCATTTCAGCTGTTTTCAGATAATTTTCACTTTTTTGTGCTCAGTTCTGCTTCTTTAATCCTAATTGGGCAAACACGTGTTCTTTCTGCTTTCTTCTGCTAATTTAAGCTTGTTCTACCTTTTCAGCTAGCTGTTTAACATTTTTAGCTGATTTCAGCTGTTTTTAGATAAAGTCAAGTATTTTGTGGTAATTTCTGCTACTTTTAGCCTAATTAACATCTTTATGCTAATTTTAGCTTGTTATGCTCGTTTCAGTTTTTCTGCTAGTTTCATCTTTTTCTGCTATTTCAGCTTGTATTTAGCTGTTTTATGTTAATTTTAGCTTTTTCATTTAATTTCTCATTTTCTAGCGTATATCAGCTATTTCCATCTTTTCTAGTAGTTTAAGCTTCTTTCTGCCTTTTCAGCTACTTCTCAGCTATTCTTTGTTAACTTCAGTTTTTTTAAGTTAATTTCCTAATTTTTGTGCTAATTTCTGCTTATTTAAACCCATTTCAGCAAATATGTGTTCTTTCTGCTTTCTTCTGCTAATTTAGGCTTGTTCTCCCATTTCGTCTACATTTCAGCATGTTTTTAGCTATTTTCAGCTGTTTTTCAACAAGTTCTTCTGCATGTTAGGCTGCCTTCAGGCCCAGGCCTCCCTTGCAAATTAAATCTGTGATCTTAGTGGGATTTGTCTGGTTAAATAAAGGTTAATAAAAATAATAATAAATGAGCATTCACACTGCAGTTTTGCAGGAAATTAAATTTCTCTAGTTATTGTTGTTTTTGTTTTTGTTGTTATGCAATATTTTCTAGCTTTGACCAAAACTGTAAAAACTCCCTTTTCCTGCTAAGATGATAGTTGAACTCTTAAGCTTTCAAAGGCAGCAGACAATCTGCATTCCTTCAAATAATCCTAGTTTTTTTTTATCCTGACAACTTGGTTGTTCAAAAACAACTCTTTTCTATTTACTTTAAGTCTGTATGAATCGTAGTTACTGTACAGTTCATGTAAATGTGTATTTATTACAAGACGACTTTAAGTAATATTAACTGGTCAGATTGTTTTTTAGATGTCAAATATTCTGAAGTATTTTAGCCGGCAGCTCTGATTCACCATCCATCCTCACGCTCTGCTTATTTCCTCCATGTCCATCTCATCTGTCCTCTCAGACATCAAGCCTGAGGACGCTCCTGCCAAAGGTGGCAAGAAAGGAAAAGGAAAGAAGGATAAGAAGAAACTGCCAGTTGAGACGTTTGGAAAGAAAAAGCCAAAGCTGGATGAGCTGAAGGTACAAACCAGCTGAGGATGATGGTTTCATCTAGGTGGACGTGTAATCTCGATCCAAGAGGTCGTTAAATAAATATCGTGGTGTGTTCAAACAAGGTGTATCCAAAGGAGCTGGAAAGTGAGTTTGATGGCTTTGAGGACTGGCTGCACACTTTCAACCTGTTCAGAGGGAAAGGTGGCGATGATGACGACCAGAACGTGACGGATGAGGACAGGATTGTTGGAAAGTTTAAAGTAAGAAACTCTCTTAATGTACGTTTATTAAATGCTTAGGAAGCATGAAACAACTGGAGACGTCAGCTGGAGTCATTTAGCAGCTGCAGTGGCTTCAAGAGGGATTCACGCTTCAAGTTACAAACTAGCCTTGTGATACTTTTAGCTTTTAGTTAGCCTTTAGTTGCTTTTAGCCTTTAGTTGGCCTTTAGTTGCTTTTAGCCTTTAGTTAGCCTTTAGTTGCTTTTAGCCTTTAGTTGGCCTTTAGTTGCTTTTAGCTTTTAGTTGGCCTTTAGTTGCTTTGAGATTTTGGTTAGCCTTTAGTTGCTTTGACCTTTTAGTTAGCCTTTAGTTGCTTTTAGCTTTTAGTTAGCCTTTAGTTGCTTTTAGATTTTAGTTAGCCTTTAGTTGCTTTTAGATTTTAGTTAGCCTTTAGTT